CCCAGCTAATGTTTTGTATTTTTAGTAGAGACGGGGTTTCACCATGTTGACCAGGATGGTCTCAATCTCTTGACCTTGTGATCCACCCGCCTCGGCCTCCCAGAGTGCTGGGATTACAGGCGTGAGCCACCGCGCCCAGCTCAAAACCATTCTTATTGAAACAGTTTCAACAAATAAGCACTGTTGACACTTGAAAATAATAAAATTACTTTTCTTTTATAAATTATCTATTATTCTATCTTATTAGACTGACTTTTCCCCCCAGTTATTTTTAATTTTTAGAGTGCTATTCTTTATCTGAAAGCAGTTAATGCTAATTTTTAACAGGCTTGTATTTGGTCTTTGTAGTAAATGAGTTAGAAATTCCAGAAGCTAAATAGTAACCTTAAGAACCAGATACTATACAGTGACCTAAAGAGATAATTTAGCTTTTCATAAAAACTTCAACTTTTGTAAGTAGAGGAACATAATTCAGAACTCATATGTTTTATGATTAATACCTAACCATACCCTTTGTGGTTTTATGTTAACCTGGAACTTTAGCCAAAAATGAAATTAACTTTTATTTAGTAGAAATCTTTATAGTAATATACAGTTTTCTTAAAATCTTTTATGAAGCAGGTAATGTTTTGCTCTTGATCATTTTAGATAATTTAGCTTTTCGACACAGTTTTCACCCAGAAGATTAATGTTTTGTTTAATTTTATATATTACTCTTTAACCCTTCTTTCTGATATAAAGAAATATCCAGGCAAGAGAATCGCTTGAACCTGGGAGGCAGAGGTTGCAGTGAACCAAGATCGCACCATTACACTCCAGCCTGGGTGACAGAGTGAGACTCCGTCTCAAAAAAAAGAAAAAAAAAGAAATAATCTGTTTTGTATTCTGGCACACAGAGAAGAGATCAAAAGGAGATAGTTACAAATCAGTCTACTCACATATTGCTGCCTAACTTAAGATTCTTAAAAAGTTTGATTGGAGATATATATATATATTAGAGAGAGAGAGAGGGATACAGATAGGTGGATACAAACACATGACATACTCTCTCTCTCTCCTTGGGTCTTGGGGCCACATTTAAAACTTGTAACTGAGGGTTTTCCCATGGTAGTCCAGCAACTTTATCAACCACCCAAGGGAAAATAATTAGGTAGGTGAAACAGAATAGATCAGCCTAATATTTGAGAACATACTATTTTTGTGACCTCATTATTTTTCCTTTTTTAAAAACCATTTTCTATTAAAGGTTTAATCGGTGGAATGAAACATCTTGTAACTCTAGTCCACAACTGCTAGTCACTAAAAAACTGGCTCATTGTTCTGTATGTTCTCATCCAGGTAAGGAGACATGGGGAATGGTTATTCGTATCTGATACCCATGTTTTAATTCTTGTTTACATAGTACTTTTTACATATCAATATTAATAATACTTTGAAGGGTTTTACATTGTCTTCTCTACTAGATTGGCAATTTCTTGGAGTCAGGAGTTTTGTTACATAGTAGTCACTCAGTAAGTGTTTATTGAAAGCAGTAATGTGATGTAGATGACAAATGTAGGATAAGTACAGTTTCAAACTATGATGCCAAATTACTTAGATCTTAAAATTATGTTTTCAATATAGAAATCCATTTTAAGAAAAAAATATGTACTAAGTCTGAAGGGAAAATAGAACTGATACCATTTGTTAATATATTTGTGTATACTTAAATAATTCTTCATTGTTCTGTAATGCATTTTAATTGTGTGTGAAGACAGTGACAAAACTAATTTCTAATATATGTTCACCATTATTGAAAATAGCTTAGATCTTCTTCATTAGTCTTGGTTTGAAAAAAAAAAAAGGTGAACAGGTACTGGATGAGAAAGGCCTTTCATTCCCAAAAGAGATTAGGATATCATGTTAGCTCGTCTTTCAGAAGAAATTCTGCTGTATCTATTTGTCTAAATATATTTTTATTATTAAAATATAGATAAAATCATGGAAGAAAATAAATGTTTTTTAGAAATAAGATGCTATTGTATAGTTTTTTGATAACTTATAAATGACAATTTGAGGTCATAGCAAGTATGTATGTTCCTCCATATTCTTAAGACAATGTAGAAAGTAATCAAACTTTCCTTTTAAAGGGAATTAAATTTCTACACCCGTGCCGCAGTCATCATTTGTTCATGTTCCAAGGATAGTTTAAAAATAACTGAGAGCTAGACACTAGCAGAGGTAATTAACTGCTATATTCTTTTGATAGACTCATTAAAGAAACTATTCTATTAGAGCTGTTCTATTAAGTAAATAATATTTTTTTCCAATAATTCTACTATTTTGCATGTAGCTTCCACTTAAAAGTTTTCTGTTGCTGTCTAATTAAACACTTTCAGATAGAAGAATAATTTTTGAATATTTTTTTCTAAAGTGTCATGTGATAGTAATAGCTCAAGATCTGATTGAGCCCAAGAATTACTATGGTGTCTATTACTCTATTCAACGTAAATGTATTGAAACCCTTCTATATGCTAGGTAGTGCGCTAGGCAATATCAATTTTTGAAAATTCGGATACAGGCAAAAAGAATGTATGTAGAAAGTAATTCTAAGAAGCAAAACATATTATACTTTTTTTTTTGGGTCTCCATAAAGGTTCACCTAAGGATCATGAACGTAATGGTTGCAGATTATGTAAAAGTGATAAATATTGTGAGCCACACGATTATGAATACTGCTGCCCTTGTGAGTGGCACCGTACGGAACATGATAGGCAACTCAGTGAAGTAGAGAACAATATTAAAAAGTAAGTTTTTAAAAAAAAAAAACTGTGCTTTTTCCTGGCATGACCTATACACGTCTTCGGTTGAATTTTTTCCACTTAATCTTTCCCCACGTGTCTAGATTAGTCACATGTTTAACAAAAGTTTTTTCTGATTTCTTTTCAAAAATTTAGCTAACTCAGGAGATGGTAATGTAATAGTTATTCAAAGAGAAGCTTGATTGTTTGCGATACTGTACATTCACATTTATCAAATGGGAGGAGATTGGCTGAGATGATTTCACAGTCTAAAATTGTCTTATTATAGTAATAACATGTATATAATTTTTTTTTTCAGGAAAGCTTGTGGTTGTGAGGGATTTCCCTTCCATGAGGTAATATCCAGTAATTCAACTGTACTTATTTTAGAAACTTTCTTATAAGTTTAGGTCTCAATTCTTATTTTCTTTTTTCTTGCTAGGTTATTCAAGAATTCCTTTTAAACAAGGATAAATTGGTGAAGGTTATCAAGTACCAAAGACCTGATTTGTTATTGTTTCAGGTATCTGAAAATAAATTCTTGCTTTACCATATGAAGTTATATGCTGGAAAGATAGCAACAGATATTCACTCCGATTGGTCTGAAGGAGGTTTAAAATTAAAACAGTCAGCTCTTATATTTTTTCAGCGTTTATTTCTAATCTCTCATTTCCTATAAAGTGGCCATACTTTGCATACTGTAAGATGAAGTACAGTTATGCTATTTTAGAGGATGCCTTAATTAGCATATATGGATATATTACATCCAGGGATATTTTGGGGGAAGAGGGTCTAATAACCAGAGAATGTCAAGATCAAGTATGTTATTCTTTTCCAAAAATTGAGATCTGAAATTAATGACCTAAATTTAAATTTGAACCATATTCCGTTTACTGTGTAACCCTAGATATGTATTATTCTCAAAATAGAAATAATATTCTTATCTCTTGAAGTCACCATGAGAATTAAATGAGATTATTTATAATAACTCCTAATATGGTGGCTAGGGACACAGAGTGGCTCAATAAATTGTAACTGCTGGGTACTTAACAAGTATTAATAGTGACAGCCACATTGATAATGGCAGCCAACAGTTATTAGACATTTAAATTTGCTGTTTTAACATATTACATGTAATCTCAATCTTTATAATCTGTGAGCTGGGTTTATAATATTTTCACATTATAGATGGTAAAACTGAGGCTAAGAGAGGTTAAGTAAGTTATCCAACATCTAAGAAATACCATCCTGGCATTCAAATCGAGAGCCCTCACTCTTAATCATTATGCAATAATGATTCTTCATTAATAATGATTCTTCCTTAGGAGGCTCATTCTTTTTTCTCAGAATATTCTCATTGATGCTACTTTAATTAATGTTAATTCTAAAGGAAAATTATTAATATCACCTGGGAGTGCTATTTGTCTCCAAGAGATAACAAAATATTGTTTTATTATATTTACAGAGATTTACTCTTGAAAAAATGGAGTGGCCCAATCACTATGCATGTGAGAAGTTGCTGGTACTTTTGACCCGTTATGACATGACAGAAAGAAAGCTTGGTAGAAGGCACTCTAATCAACTACAGCCAATTCGGTAATGTAAAGAGCTGAATGGTGAAGACTGTGTTTTTACTTGAATCTCTTATAATTAAAATATTTTTAATATCTTTAAGCTCGTTTTTGTAAAGGTGGAGGAAAGGCCTCTTGGAATATTAAAAACTTACTCAGGACTTACAGTCTGGACAACATAGCAAGTCATGCTTGATCATACTTTTCTACTTCAAACACATAGTAATAATAGATTATAAAGAGAAACAAACACGAAAAGATATAGCCAGGCTTTATAAGACAGCTATTTCAATGGACCAGGAAAGGAACAAAAATGTAAAGGGAATGTGGGAACTAAAACTGGTTTGGCAGAGCCTTAAGTCTAGAAGCAGCAGTATCACCCAGGAGGTAAATCTCTGCAATGTAAAAAATAAAACAGGGACCAAAAGTGCAAGATGTTGATGGAGTCAGGCTTATTTCTTGAAACCCAGTAGCTAGGGTGTAATTTCTTTGTTTCTATTAGGAGATTAGAGGGTGGGGTAGATAATAAAAAACTAACCAAATGCTGCCTGAAGGCCAGAAAGCCTACTGGAAATTACTCAAAAAAGACTAGAGAGATAGAAGTGAAGACAGATAAAATGTAAAAGAACTGAAGAAGAAAACTTAACATATGAAGAAATGTAGTATTTTAAAAATCAAGAGTTGGATCATGAATTCACTTCAGATTAAATTAAGTTTTAAAGCAGTCTGATAAAGGTTTTGTACAGGGCTTGGGGGTGGTTAGCCTTTCAGAATGCTAGAGTCCTCAGAAAGATGAAGACATATTTTTATAAGCAACAGAAGGCAAAATTATAAAAGTGGGTATAAATAGATGGATATTAAAAGTGAACAATTAGAAAGCTTAAAAATAGTTGCTGAAATAAAAAGCAATAAAGGGGACTCTAGGCTGAACTCGGTCAAAAGAATTAGTGATTGGAAGACAGCACTAATCAAGTCACACAGAAATAATCTCAAAGACTCTCATATGAAAAATGCTTAAGAGTAGTTTTGAATTAATTCCTAGAAGCTAATAAAAGGTGAAAAAGTAATTTTGAAGAAATCATCTCTGAGAGTTTTCCAATATTTAAAACAGATAAAGTTATACTCCAAATTAAAGCACAATAGATAAAATACCCAAGGCATATTGCAGACATCAAGGATAAAAGGAATATCTTAAAAAGTACCAAACCAATCAGGCAGCAATCATCAATGGATATTAAAACCATTAGATGAAAGATTGCTGGAGAGAAAGAGTAGACACAATCTCAAATACCACTCTACAGATTAATTACAAAGGAAAAATGATATCTTCATAAATGGAGAAATCCAGTGGACATCAGTTTAACCAAATGATTAATTACCAATAAAAGGACAATAGACTGATATCATATGCTTTCTAATATGTTAAACTGAGAAAGATACCACATTATCATATAATATTTTTGCCCAAAAAGTTTGATCTAGGCAGGGCATGGTGGCTCACACCTGTAATCCCAGTACTTTGGGAGGCTGAGGCTGGTGGATCGACTAAGCTCAGTTCAAGACCCATCTCTTCCAAAAATAAAAAAAATTAGCCAGGCATGGTGGAGAGCACCTGTGATCCCAGCTACTTGGAAGGCTGAGTTGGGAGGATTGCTTGAGCCTGGGAGGTGGAGGTTACAGTGAGCTGAGATTGCACCACTGCATTCCAACCTGGGTGACAGAGTGAGACCCTGTCTCCAAAAAAAAAGAAAAAAAAAGTGTAATCTGAATCTAATTATGAGAAAACAATCTAATGAATCCAAGTGAGGAACATTCTGTGGAGCTATTATCCTGGACTCTTCAAAACTAAAACAAAAAAATATAGAGAGTTTCTGGATTAGAATAAAGAGACAACACAATTTGAGAAAAATGTTATGATCTTGATTGAATTCTGAATTGTTTTTAAGTCATAAAGGACCTTTTTTTAGGACAATCAGAGAAATTTGAATATGGTCTGTGTATTGTATTAGTGTTAAACTTTCAGAGTGTGATAGTTGTTTGTGGCAATGTAGGAAAATACTCTACATAGATAGGCTGTAGGGGTGATGTGCCATGAGACATGTTTGCAACTAACTTGCAAATTAACAATTGAATCTCAGTACAAGTATGTGAGTATTCATTGTACTATTTTTGTAACCTTTATGAAGGTTTGACATTTTTCAGAATAAAGTTTGCTGGGAAATAGCAAAGAAAAAAGATAAACCATCTGGTAGCACACATCTTTGATAACAGTAATAGATGACAGAAGATGCAGGAGTGATGTTTCAAAGTACTGAGCAAAAATAATTTACAACCTTGAAATCATTAAAACATTATTCATAGGAAGCATTTTGAAACATGAAGACTAAGAGTTTACCACTCATAAACTTTCCTTAAAAGTGCTGTTAAAGGGCTGGGATGGTGGCTCACTCCTGTAATCCAATCACTTTGGGAGGCCAAAGCAGGTGTATCACTTGAGACCAGGGGTTCTAGACCAATTTGGCCAACACAGGGAAAACTCCCCCTACTGCAAATATAAAACATTAGCTGGGCATCGTAATCCCATCTACCTCGGAGGCTGAGGCACGAGAATCTCTTGAACTCAAGAGGCAGAGGTTACAGTAAGCTGAGATGGCACCACTGCACTCCAGCCTGGGCAAATAGAGCAAGACTCAAAACAAAACAAACAAACAAAATATAATGATTGTTTTTAAGTGTTGTTAAAGGATAAACTTCAGCAAGAAAAAAAAATGAACACAAAGGGAAGATGTAAATTACAAGAAACAGTGGTCAGCTCAGGAATTGATTAAAATATGTTTGGATAATTTAATAAACTAACTAAAAAAAAGTATATAAATATTTGTATAATGTTTAGTGATTAATACATGATGCTGCTGATGATAAGCCAAAAATCCCAAAGTATGCATTCAAACACTTAAGAGTACCTGCTAGAAATAAAATACCTTTCAAACCAGCACAGTTAAAATAAGAAAGTCAAACGATCAAACCAAAAGAATACTGGAAGAAGGAAGGTAGAAGTAGCAAAGAAAAAGCTGGTGACAGGAAACACAAAATAAGATGCATGAATGAATCCAGCAGCTATATCAGGAATCACAAATAATGTAAGCAGATTAATCTCACCTATTTAAAGACAGATTATATTGGATAAGTAAATAAAATTCAGCAATGTTCAGCTTATAAGGTACATGTAGAATAATACAGAGCTTGAAAATAAAGAGATTTAAGAAGGCTTAGTAGGCAAGTACTGTACTTATCAAAGTAATATAACAAACTTTAAAACAAAAATCATTATTGTGGAGTTGAGGAACATTGAATAATAAGGAAAGGAACAACCTACCTAGAAGATTTAACAATAATAAACTCTATGTACCTAACAATATTATCTTTTAAATAACTAGTCAAAGGAATAACTAGCCAGTAATTCCTTAAAATATTTTTACCTGGAAAAAAAAAATCTATGGAAATTATTCAGGTTACAAATTGAAAATTTCCAAATAACTTACGCAATTAATACTTCATTAAATGAATTTATTTTTCAGAATTGTTAAGACCCGAATCAGAAATGGAGTTCATTGTTTTGAAATAGAATGGGAAAAGCCTGGTATGTATTCACTTTAAGCAAAATGCTCGATTTATAACATTTGACCATGTATGTCTAGTAAATATTGTATATGTATATGTATTCAACGTGTGTGAAAAATAAAGATGAAACCCATTACATGCACCACAGATTGATTTCATAGTTTGCCTGTGTTATTTTAGATAGGTTTTGACTAACAGTAAATATGATATACTTTGATTTTGTTGTAATGTCTTAATTTTACATTTCTTTTGTAATATTACTAAAATAGTAATACTGAAATAGTTTTTATTGATATTTCTCAAATAAATGCTTTTACAAATAATCTGGTCATTCAATTTCATATATATTACATCTGAAAAAAATTAAGATTGGTAAAATAGCCCCTGGGGTATACTTCCTTTCCTTTTATTACCCTGCTTAGTTTTCATTGGGAATTTTTCATTGTCAAATTATTCTTATTTTTGCTATAGACAGAAATACAGTGAACTCTGAATTAGCTCCGATACTGGAGATAGTGAAACACAGATACTTTAAAATGGAAAATGACACCAAGTTGATTTCTGTTTTGGCTTTGAAATTAGATTGTATGATCATATTTGAGAGAATAGATTTGTCCAATGAAACTTTAAGCTGTAGGTAACGTTGAAGAATGAAATTATAAACAATTAGATAAACCATTCCAAGCAATTAGAGGAAAATAGAATGCTGAATAATTTTAAAAAGTATTTAGGAACAGTTACACCAACTAGTATATTTTCAGGAAAGAACATGATATTAATTCAGTTTGGCAATGCATCTCTCCTGTCAAGAACTGAGGGTCAGATACCCATTTTCACTGATCCTTGTGGGAGCTATTATGGGAGAAAATGCACCTCAAGCTAGTTTAAGATCACTTACTGTCTTTGTTTCTGCTTTAAACTTATCAGCATTTCTTTATAATTTGGCTTATTTTGTGGTTTTGCCCACATAGAAAATAAACATAAGAATCTAGTGCACTGTTTATATATACACTGTATTGTAAATTTACATATGAACATTTTTATTTTCATTTATTAATTGCTTGTAAGTCCATTTAGTTTGGGCTTGAGACAGTGATACCCTCTGAAACAACAATCTGGAAAGTAGTAATACTTTTTTTTTTTTTTGAGACAGTCTCTCGCTCTGTTGCCCAGGCTAGAGAGTGCACTGGTACCATCTCGACTCACTGCCATCTTTGCCTCCTGAGTTCAAGTAACTCTCCTGCCTCAGCCTCCCAAGTAGCTGGAATTATAGGCACCTGCCACCACACCTGGCTAATTTTTGTATTTTTTATAGAGATGGGGCTTCACCATGTTAGCCAGGCTGGTCTCGAACACCTGACCTCGGGTGTTCCGCCCCCCCTTGGCCTCGAAAATTGCTGGGATTACAGGCGTGAGCCACTGCGCCCAGCCTGGAAAGTAGTAATACTTTTGATGACCCTTTCAATTGTGTTCATTTCAGAAGTCATCACTAAAGAAAGCTGATGGTGAGTTTTAGGAAATTTTTTTATTCTTACCTGGAATTTTAACACTTACTTAACTGAATTAAACCAACCAACCTTTTCTAAACAAAGTATTCTTTCAGCTGCTGCTACCATCTCTGAAATAAAGAGGATTTAAAATTCTAATTTAGGAAGAATCTCCTTCCAGCTCTTACCAGGCAAAATATAAGTAAATAAATTTTGTACTGCTATCAACAGATTGTTAGAATCTAGGTGTTATAAAGCAAGACTTGCAGTGAATATTCCATTTGTGAATAACTTATTTTACCTGGTAAACTTAATTACATGGAAATACTGAATTTTTAAAAATGTGTAATTAAGGATGCTTTGCTGTATTTTTGATATTTTAGAACATTATGCAATGGAAGATAAACAACATGGAGAATTTGCTCTACTAACAATTGAAGAAGAAGCATTGTTTGAAGCAGCCTATCCTGAGATAGTTGCTATTTACCAAAAACAAAAATTAGAAATGAAAGGGAAGAAACAAAAAAGTAAGTTTTGGGTTTGATAGCTATTTATGCCACATGCAAATGTTATAGGAGTCACCTCTTCTGTTTGAATCTATTCTGTCTGAATTATACTGAAGAATCTATAAAATCAAGAGTCAAGAACTGTATTCCTCCTTGTCTTCAGGTACTTTTCTTTTAAAGCAGAAAAGCCAGGAATAAATCATTCTGCTCTGTCTACTAAATTAGCCCAGTGTTAATAATAATTATACTGACCAATTATTGAGCAACTACTATGTATAGCATATTTGGGGTTTTAAATACATTTTCCTTTCCCAGAACTCAGTGAGGAAAACAACTAAATTATAACATTGTTTTTAGAGGGAAATATTTTATAATATTTCTAGGAATTCACTGAGACAAAAAGGCAAAAACTGTTTATATAGATTTTTCATCTGAACTGTTTTTTTTACCCAA